ACTTCCGTAGTGATACTGCCTCGGAAACCCAAGGAGGGGTCGCTATGAGTCGGGGCTGACTCGACGGCACATAACAACAACAACAACAAATTTATTATATTTACTCTATTCTTGAGATGAGATTCCAGAATTCATTAATTTTGAGTTATTCTTTATATTTGGATTTATTACCAAATATAAAGTAACTTTGCAGGTGAGATAAGTAAGGAGAATTAAAGAAATATTTTCTTTTATTTAATAAAATTGTTATAATTCCAATTGACATCTTTTTTAAAAATCTAAAGTTCTTGCTTTTTAAAGCAAGATAAAAATTTTATCCAGGAAGAAAAGATAGGTTGTCTGTAGCATCAGTTCAAATGTTTGATAAATTGGGTATGATACCTTTATAAAATGGAACTCACTGATTCATAATAATTTTTCTGTAACATGCTATGTTATGAATGCAAAGCACGTCAACACACAAACCATGGTAGAAGACAGTACCGTATACTATGTCTAGGTACGCCTTTTTTCCTTTTTTCTTTTTTTTAACTTTTTGTGACATTGGCCACAAACTCTAACTCAGAGAGTGTTTATTGTTTATTTTTCCTTCATAACTTTTCAGACTAAACCCTTTTGCAGTAATTCAAATGAATGTCCCACAGCTGTACATGCCAACATGGATGTACTTCAGAAACAATGTTAGTGAAGAAAGCATGTCAAAAATTATATACTGATTGATACCATATCTATAAGTTTCTGAAACATGTATAACCAAATTATTAATGATGTATACATTCAGTATAACTGCAATGAAAAGTAAAGAATGACAAGTAAAATTCAGAACTCTGGTTACCCCATTGTTGGGTGCTGTAGGAGAAATAGGAGAAGAAAGAGAGGGCTACAATGAAGAAGAAACATCAGAGACTTTTTGATTAATTCTGTTCTTAAATTGGATAATGGATATTTAGCTGTGTATTCTTGTTACCATGTATATATTATTTTGTATATGTGAAAAAATGCATATATATATATATATATTTTTTTTTTTTTTATTTTATTTTTTAAAAGAAAGCAGGAATGTTGTCCTAGGTGATTTTAAAGATCTTTGCTCCCACAAAGTGAGCGTTCTGTTTGGAATGATCTGAAGAGGCAAAACCCTGCAATGTCCTGTGGAGATTTCCTGGGCACACTACCTTATCCTAAAAATGGCCAAAGACTTGCCTGTACCTTAAACCTTAATGTGCAAGTGTATGTCTTGAGACCTCACTGGAGACTTTTTATAACATCTTACATATATGACCATTTGTAATTATCTTCTTTACCACTGTCTTTGTCTTTTCTGTTCCTCCAGTTGCTTCATGAATATTGGATGGCACTGAGGAATCGTGTGTCTGCTGTTGATGAACTTGCAATGGCTACTGAACGACTAAGAGTGCGCCATCCTCGGGAACCAAAGCCCAGTCCTCCTGTTCTTCATATCATTGAACCACACGAGGTAGTTTGCAAGTGAATACAGAAAAGCAAATAGATAGGACAAAACTGCAGGACCCACAGGAGAGAGGGTTGAGTCAGGGCAGCAGTCCCTTCTATAAGTAGGAGGTCAGTCTCCTCTCTTCGTTTGAGCCGTGTGACACTGTTGTTTGTATGTGCCGAAAGTGGTCACAGACAATTAACATCATACCTAATGGTACTTTTAGCATTTACTATTTCGGTGCATCTTGTTTGTTCTTTCTCTCCAAATTGTATGTTATTTGTGAGCACTATGTGCCAAAACCTATGATTTTCTTGATAATTTTTTGACAGATGTCCTATTACCTCAACTTTGTCAAAACCAGAAAAATCTCCCCTAAGAAACAACCGAAAACTCTTCCTTTGTGGTGTTTCTTTTGCAAATGATAAACAAATATTAACAACTTAACCTCTAATAAATCCCTCTTTGTATTTCAATGTTAAGAAGTAACTCCACCAACCTTTTCTATTCCATGTTAGAAATACTGTTTTCTCTATTTTTTAATGTTTAATGCATGTGTTTATGTTTAACGTTTTAAGTCTTTTTCTTTCTACAAAGCTGAAGACTATAGCCAAGAAAAGCTTAGAAATAATTGTTATGTACTAGCTCACTTAACTTTTAAAATATGATGCCCTTGTAAGTTTTTCTCTGAAAACAAATTCCTGTTACTTGAATACTCCTCTTCTGTCATGTTCTATTGGCATGTGTTAAGTGAGTGGAGAGATTTTTTCCTGAATTTGGTAAAATCACACCACCCGAAGCAGCAACATCTAATTTCTTTTTTTTTTTTTTTTACATCCTGTAGATGTGTTGCTGAAAAATGGTGCAAAATAGAATTTGGGTTCATTCTAATCAGACTTGAAGTATACAGGGAAACTTCTTATTTAAAAGAATTTTGCAATTAATTTTTTCTTGTATGAGGGAGAAAGAACTTTTGATATATATTATATAGTATCTATTTTTCAGATTTGAATTTTTACATGTAAGTGGGTTTTCTTAAAACAGGACACATTTACAGTATTGATGAAGAATTGTTTATTTTTAATACCATTAACTATATGAGAAAGAAAAAGGACATTTTGTTTGTTTTTCAGGTAGAACAAAATCGTATAAAACTACTGAATGATAAAGCTGTTGCTACATCACAGCTTCAGAAGAAACTTGGGCAGCTTCTTTACCTAAATAACTTGGAGAAGGTATTGTTTTAAAATTATGCTGCTTTTTCCACACTGTATTATCATAAACCACTTCAGTGACTCTTTTTATTTAATCCATTATTTCCATAATTAAGAGTACTTTTTAAAACTTAATCTTTTATTTGGTTATGCTGATTCTGTAAGTCAGAACACTAATTATGTCTACGTTAGCTACACATACAACAAAAGAACATTTTATCTCTAGGAAACACAATTTATGCAGATGATACAAAGGGTTTGCATTATATAGTAAGGAGCAGAGGAAATAGACTGTAGTTCAAAGCCTTGAGTAATGTAAGTATTACAACATACCTCTAGGTGAAAATTGCATATGTCATATATACATGCATTCATTCATACATACCAAAAAAAAAACCCAAAAGAGAGCTCTGGTGGCATAGTGCCTAAGGCATCTGACTGCTAACCAGAGGGCTGGCAGTTCAAACCCACCAGCCACTCTTCAGAAGGAAGATGGTTTTAATTTATTATATGAAAGTGTAGAATGTGTTTGGAAAGCCACTGTATCAGAAAACACCATAATGAAGGGAACTTTGCATATTTAATGTAAATCGCGACACATTCTCTGACTTCCTACTGTGAGTGAAGTGTGGCATTGAGGAGATCATGGGTTCTTGATGAATGCAGTTCCTTTTTATTGAAAGAATTCTCACAGTTTGCAAGTTGGCAAGACACTTTATCAGTACAAAATGTGGTAGTAGGTTTTTGGATAGGGCAAAGAAAGAAAGGAGTAGAAGATACTTGTTCCAAAAACTGGCCAAACTACATTTAAGTAAATTATAAAATTCCACTGATTACCAAATGAAAAGCTGTACATTGATTATAGGAAAAATAACAAGGAGGTTCAGAAGATAGACTTGGGACCAGACTGCCCAAAGTTAACTCATGACTTCACTATTCTCTAGAAGTGTGACTTCAGTCAAATTATTTAACTCTCTTTGTCCCATCTATAAAATTAGAATAAGAACAACACTCTCTCATAGGGCTGTCTTGAGAATTATATGAATTAATGTAGGTTGGTTTTCGTATGATGAATGTCCAGATTTTCATTTGGTGATCAGTGGGATACCTTAATGAGATTAGACAAGGATGCGGAGAAGCAGCCTGTATTAATAACAGTTACATTATGTGAATAAATGCTGCCTCTGCCCATGCCTCTGCCCATTCAGTCCATGAACCAAGTGGACGTGCTGAACGAGTCAAGGTTTTCTCCACAATTACAAGAAATGTTTATTAAAAATTCCAGATCATATTTTAAAAATAATATGTACTTCTTTGTAGCAAAATCCCACCTGAAAATAAAATTTTGAGAATTTAGCTAAGTTATATCATATTTTGCTTTTAATTTTGCCTTCTCTAATTACAAATAGGATGATATGATAACTTTAACAAACAATAATCAATATTGTATCCATTTTGTGTTTACTCCTTGAATAAATGTTATTTGTAGATCATAGGACTAATAATAATAGGTAATATATAAATTGTTACGTCATCTAGATTTTTCAAAAACCAAAACCAAACGCACTGCCATCAAGTCAATTCTGATTCATAGCGACCCTACAAGGACAGAGCAGAACTGCTCCATAGAGTTTCCAGGACTGTAATCTCTGTGGAGCAGACTGCCTCATCTTTCTCCTATGGAGCAGCTGGTGGGTTTGAACTGGCAACCTAACCACAGTTGAGCGCTTTACTCACTGCACCACCAGGGCAGCTCTTCTCAATTATTAGGTTATTTAAATTGAACTTAGCAACATGTACTTAAACAAATGAGTTATAAAATATGTCTGAGGTTTAAAATTTAAAAATGTAACTGATAAATATTTGAACTCTCTTTTTTGGGCAGTCTCAAGACAAAACATCAGGAGGTATTAATCCAGAACCTTGTCCGATCTGTGCTCGGCAGCTGGGAAAACAGGTGAAATGTGAATATATGTATGTTATTTATATAGTGTAATAGAAACACATACTATAAAACACCTCAGTTTTTAAAGGCTTCTATATACCTCTCTTTGTGTTTCTCTGTGTTATCATGAGAGTTTTATGTGAACAGCAGATATTGTCTCCAGCTTAAAGGTGGCACCAGTGGTTAGATGCCATGTTCAGTGCCACATATATTTGAACAGTTTTTCGTAAGTAGCACATGAAAAAACATTTCCAGGATGATTCTGTTAGTCTTTTATCATGGTGTGGAATATAATACAATGTATGTGGATTTACTTAACAAGGTATTACACAGGTGTAGTAGCAGAGCTCTTACTTAGCATGATTAATATCTCATAAACCAGGTTTGCCAGTTAAAGTACAAAGTACATCTCCCCGCAGGAAATTTAGATGTGATTTTTAGAAGAACATTAGATCAAGTATGTATAAATAGATTTCTTTGTGGATGTTAGTGTACAAATGTCTGTAAACACCATGGCAACTTATTAGTTCTCTATAAGATTCTTTTTTTTTTTTAAATCCTGCTGACTATAGTTCATGAATTAAATTCCTGCTTTATATGATAAAGTAATATGTATCGTTGTTGTTAAGTGTTTTCACGATGATTTGGACTCGCAGTACCCGAGTGACAGCGTGACCTGCTTCCTAGTGTTTCCCTAGGTTGTTGTGGGAGCGGACTGCTGGGTGTTCCTACTGCACAGCCTGCTGGGCACGTTCAAACTGCCAGCCTTGCAGTTGGCAGCCAAGCACTTAACTGTTGCACTGCCAGGGCTCTTTATACGTAAAAGATGTTTATAGCCTTTCCGAATTAGAAGATAAACACAGTACCATTAAACTAATCAAAGTTACTCTTGGCTGTTTCCTTATGGAATTGAGAATAGAAGGTTAAAGGTATGAATTGTGTGTTCTGACTGGTGAAAATTGGGGAAAAACTGCCTTTTAGTTTCCAGGATTTGTGGAGGAGATGAGATTTCAGAGCCTACTTTATTTGGTAACACGTTTTGGAAGGATGGGTATTAAGTTGGAAACTGAGCAGAGAGACGGTGATACACACATACTGGTGCCTTCTGAGAGAAGTTGTGATGAGAATGGAGAGGATTCTACAGAGTAGTGTCTTCTTATAATGAGATTCATGCATTTGGACTCTCTCAGAAATGTGATGTGATTTTTGTCTTAAACGTTTGCTATTTTTAAAGTTCTTTCACATACGCTATTTCGTTTACTCCTTCCACACCTGGAAGCCTGTGTTAGACTGCCATAAGAGTACCAGCATGACTTCCAACCTGGCATACCCACAGTCTGTAGACACAGTCCATAGATCCTGCCCCTTTTCTCACCATCTCTCCTCCTTTCCTCCTAACTTCGGGAATCTGTTTGAGGTTCCTTTTACGTGCTGGCTAATGTCCCTAGAAGCGTTGCCATTTCTCTGTTCTTCTGTTTGGACTGTGTCAGTCAACTTTCTGGACACTCTTATATAGAGGTACTGGTGCCACATGTCTCTTCGGTTTCTTCTCAGTTGCAGATGTAAATGGACTTGTCTTTCTGTTCCATCCTGAGCTTCTCTGAGCCATAAAAGTCCTCTTAAGTAGGGGAAGCCCTTTATCCCCAGCGGCACCAGAGGCACATCGGGTACAGAATAGTGCTGCTTGGTGTCATACAAAAATGCTGGTGAGACAGTGCTTTAACTTTATTACAGCCTGCACTGCTGCAGCTCTCCCTTGGGAGCAGAGTTGCAGCCAGAGAACAGTACCAACAGTGTCACAGTGAGACACAGTCCCCAGTGGTGGTTGTGCAATCAAGTGTGTATACCTCAGCCCTCTCTGCCCTCAGTGTGAGATACACCTCAGCCCTCTCTGCCCTCAGTGTGAGATACACCTCAGCCCTCTCTGCCCTCAGTGTGAG